TTTGCTTTCCTTCTTGGAGTATGCTAGCTAAATAAAAGACAAATGTCTTGGGATAGTTAGCTGTATTCACTTATGTAGAAAAGGTGAATCTTATATTTAAATAATTTTAAACTTTACCTTTATTGGGTTCACCATTCTTTTGTACAAAATCTTTATTGTGGCAGGGTGGGGGGAAATTGAAATATTCCCGTTTGGAAAGCTTGTAAGTGGATATGATATCCTCATTTGAGTCTACTTACCATGTCACAACCAGTATGTTATTCAGTAAGAGAAAATGGAAAAAAAAAACCCTTATAGATAAAGTGCATTTTTGGGGAAAATTTGTAGTGCAATAAATCTTCCTTAGTTTTCCAGCGCTAAGGCATATGAGATAGCATCCATCTTAGATAGTTCAGGACAAATACTCAAGGAATGAGAGTAAAACATCCATTTTATTTTGCTGTTTCCCATCTGAAGATTTGAGCTGTGATTGCCCCCTTCTCCCTTTATAGTATAATTTATGAGAAATCAATTTTGTTTTGAATGTGTTTACTTTTTGCTTAGCGATATGAAGTATGACATTGCTCATTATTACGTTTTACAGGCAGAAGCTTTATCGCGAATATTCTCAGCAGTTTTTGACTTTGTTTCTGGAGTGGAACATGGGTGTGCAGAAAACCAAAGAAGAAGAGGAAAAACTAGCTGTTAGTATCAGGCTTCACTTCATAATTAATGTACTGTAACCAAGTCTCAAGTCATAGTGGAGAGCCTGGCCATGTCTTAGACCCATAGACCTGAGCCAGGGCCCCGTTCCCATTGCTGGCTATGTGGTTGGGCCCCGATCAGAGAAAATCAGAGAAGTACAGGCACACACGACACTCACAGAAGCCCCTAGTTTTACTCCGTCTCTTGGTTGGAATTCTTGCAGGTCCAAGTGACAGAAATTTGCCAGAGTACAGAAGAAGAATTTCCTGGTTTATCCAAAGAAGTCGAGGGGAGTTTAGCTCCAGATATAGCTGGATGGGCTGGGGAAAGGTTGTTCCAGCAGTGTCATCTGGGCTCTGTCTCCATCTCCCTAGTAGGCTTTCTCCATGGGATCTGCAAGAATGTGTCTTGTAATCCTAAATTCGCTATCTGTGTAGTAAACCCCCAGTGGGCTGAGACAGTCTTTCTCAGTAGCGTGGCGGGAAATTCCTCCGGAAGACTCTTACTCATCTAGTTTGGATCATTTGCTTATTCCTGAACCAGTCACTGCAGTCAGGGCATGGTTTACTCTCAACGGGCTGACTTGTATCACATTTGGGGGTAAGGATGGTGGAGGAGATGTTTGCCTTTTGAGGGCACAGGAGAAGACCTGGAATTGTTTCCTGACAGCGGGTCAGTGTGTGGACTAGGGAAATAGCATTGCCGAACAGCATTACAGTCCAACTTAGATGAGTGCCATAGTGATCACGAATTTAAAGTGAGACTTGTCTGCATGGTTGTGGCTGAGCAGCTGGAGAATTGGATTTTCCAGGGTTAGGATGAGCCAGGCATGTGGACAGAGTGAAAAGGGGGCAAGGTATAAATGCAAGGGTATAGGTATAGTGAGTGACCATGGCTCTAGCTGGGGAGGAGGAAACTGAGGACAGGGGGTGGAGAGAGGGGGCAGTGAAAAGTACTCAGTGCAGATGTCAGGTCCTGATAAGAGTACTGAGCTGTGGTACAAAAGAGAGTGAGCTACAAACATAGGGAGGTAGAGGTTGCATGTTGGGAAAAGTGGGGAAACAGTGTAGTACAGTGGTCAGGACCCTGGGCTCTGGAACCCGTGATGTTTGGGGTCCAATTCTGATTCGTCCAGTTACTGGCTGTGGAGCCATGGGCAGATTATGTATCTCTGTGTCTCAGTGTCCTCGCCTATGGAGGGGACATAATAAGGCTACCTACATCATAGGTTTGTTTTGAGGTAGATGAGTTCCTATGTGATAATTTTTCTTAAAATCTTCCAGAGCAGGACCTGACATATAGTTCCTACATGAGTTTGCTGTTTTTCGTATTATATAGATATTGCAGTTGTTGGGGGTGACAGGATCAAGGGAAAGAACATGTAAGTGAATGGCTAAACTAGGAGAGAGGACAAAATTGTTTTCGGAGATTAGGTCAAAGAACTCACAGAGTTTTGCATTATGGAAAGGTTCATCTGCGGAAACAGACTCACAGACGTAGGAAACAAACTTATGGTTACAGCGGGGGCGGGGGGGAAGGGGTGGGAAGGGATAAATTGGGAGTTCAAGATTTGCAGATACTAACTGCTATATTTAAAATGGATAAACAACAAGTTTCTACTGTATAGCACAGGGAGCTATATTCAGTATCTTGTAGTAGCCTATAATGAAAAAGAATAGGGAAAGGAACGTATGTATGTAACTGTATGACTGAAACATTATGCTGTACACCAGAAATTGACACAACACTGTAAGCTAACTGTCCTTCAATTAAAGAAAAAACAACAACAACAACAACAAAGAAAGAAAGATGAGAAGGCAAAAAACAAAAAAAGAGAAAGGTTTATCTTGTGCGGGTATTGATTGAATGACCAAGAATTATTACATGTTTGAATATTGTTAGGAAAGAATTTTTCTTAATTCTTAAATAGGGATAATTGCATAATTTAATTTATTTTTGGTAAGGAGATGGTTGTAAGGGCCATTTGTGGATTTTGAAACTACCAAGAATTAAGACGCATGTTTTGAACATGGGTAAGAAAGGAAATTTCCTGTGTACAGCATTGTACTCGTACTCCTGGATACGCTACAGCATGCTCACCACCAAAACCAGTTTCCATCCGTCAGCATATAGTTGATCCCCTTTAATGTTATAAGACAATTTTACCACAATAAAGAGTAAATTTAAACAGGAAAGAAAGAAGGAAAGATCCTTCTAAATGACTGATGGATAGTATTATTACATGTGTTTGTATAGTGGTGGTAAACACAAATGTCTAAGCTTTGTTGTAAAAGTTAGCACAGAAAATGTTTAAAAATACCGACTTAAAGAATAATCCTTTTAACTTAGTGTAGAATTATGTTTTGCTAAATATTGAATTAACCACATTTTATCCCAACTTGTTTTTCTTTTTTCACTTGTAGAACTTGTTTCGTGAGCAACAAAAGATTTTTCAACAAGCTAGAATTGTTCAGAGCCAGAGACTGAAAAAAATTAAAAATGTGTATGGCCAGCTCTTAAAGGTCTGTTGTATTGGGTTAACCCAATTCATCCTTATAGAGCATAATGTCTACTTTGAAGTAGAAGTTAGATTGTTTCATAATTTATGGGAACAATACCTTGGTTATACGTTTTAAATTCTTAGCCATTTTCCATTTGGATTTATTGTCCCTGGTTTACCATGAATGCTAAATTTATTTTTAGGATTTGTTAATAGTTTTGTGATATTATTTAAAATAGGAAATGGTAAATTAAGAATATTGCCTAGAAATAGACATATTGTGATTAAAATCGATACTTTAATCATAATTTTGTATTCAACAGTCAGTTTTTTTTTCTTTTTTTCTTTTTTGGAGATCAGGGATAACTGTATCATGGAAAGTAGGAAGTCTGCGATTAGGTTCTCATGTCTTCTACTTCTGTTTGCTTCACTGGTTTATGTAAGATAGGAGGTAGCAATTGTGATTATTGAATATCTCTTTTATTTTCGAATATATTATATGAGTGTTTTATGGCATATTTGCTTTTAGAATGACTCCAGTGGCTAAAAATGGCTTTATATGCGGGTGTATAGTCATAAGCGGTGGCCTGGATGCATAACAGTGTGAAAAAGCCAGAGGAGGGCAAAAAGTTTGTGAACTGAGGATCACCTACTGTCCCCTTCTCACATGAGCAGACTGTCTTCCCGACATCGTCCTCTGCTTCATACAGAGGAACTTATGTACTTATTTGTACTTATTTAGGAGGCAGTGGAATCCCGGATATGCCCCTTCTTTTTCTTTTTTTTTTTTTGATGGGATGTTCCATTTACTCATCTCGCTCAAATACATTTTCCCTCCTGAAAACCAGTCATTAGCTTCCCAGTTTAAATCCTTAGATAGTCAGCGTGTCCCCCATAACAAGACTCCTCTCTTTGTAGTTCCATACTTACATTCTTTCTTTCCTCCCACCCCTCCAGAGTGGTTGCTTTCTCTGCACTAAGTCACCATTACCTCCTGGCTTTGCTTATGCTCCTGCCCTAGATTACGTTTAATTCCCTCTTTCCGTTACCTAGTGAAATCTTGTTCTTTCGTCAGTTAAATCAGAATCAATCAGATTTTCCACTGCATGGCCACGGCAAGATGTGCTTCCTTAATTGTTGTAATGGTTTTGTGTTATTTTTTATTCGCATGTTTTTAATTATCACTGGAATGAGGAAGAGATCCTGTATTCGTTTTTCAATTCCTCCACAGCACTTAACAGAGTACTTTTCATATATGATGCACCAGATCCCTATTTGTTGAATGAACAGTAAAGATTTAGAACATGGGTGTGTTTTTTGTAACTTAATGAGATCATATTACAGATCATTTTTTCTTTCCAATGGAACCATGTTACGTTGATTATTAGCCAGTATGAGTGCATTGTTACCTCGTGTTTAGAAAGCTTATGAGAGAGTTTTTTAATTATGGCATTTCATGATATGCAAATGGCAGTCTCCTCCTCCTCCTCCTCTTCCCCCTCCCCCTCCCCTCCTTCTTTTCTTTTCTCCACCTTGAAATGTTAAATGTTCATTGACCCATCGTTTGAGCAAAGCGTACTACTGTCGTACCTTGTACCTCTACGATACTAATAATATTTGACACAAATACGACATCTGAAAGATTTCTCAAGTGGGTATTTTGATCTTCATGTATTTGTTATAATGTTTTTACTTGGAATAAACAATGAGTATCCTTTGAGTATTAGGACTTGTTACTTTTGAAATTTAATGGTACATGTTTAGAACGTGAGATGAAAAGTGGTGCTTCATCACTGAACTAGGCTTTTTGTTTTAGAGTATGGAGGAGTTAGAGAAGGATCATGAACATCTTCTTACTGATGAGCAAAGCAAAATTAGACAAGAAATGGCCAAGCTGCAAAACAAAATTTTGCTGGAAGCTGTAAGTAGTGTATACTTGATATTAAGGACTATGGAGGGATGTGAGCATTCGGGTGTTTTGTTTGCCAAAGTATACGTCACAGTTACCTAAATAACATGCAAGTGTTTAATATTTCCTTTCCTGAAACAGCAGCAGCAAGAGCTGGCAATGGTTCGGAAGTCTCTTCAATCCCTGTTATTCTGATGACTTTGAAGGAAGAATTTGAACCTAAAGTTAGTTATATGATACAAGTGTAACATTAGCTACATCAAACCACGTTGCCGTGGCTTAAAAGTTTTCTAGTTGAAGTCAGCACATCTTGTTTATCATTTGCTTGTTAAGTGAGTGTAAGCATCCTTTTCTGTTAACCACCAAATGGATCCCTACGCAGTTATGTGGGTGGCAGCAATTCCACAGGTACATGTATCCAGCTTTCAACCCTGTGGTAGCAGTGGAGTTGTTTTCTCCCTAACACCGTCAAGTAACTTTTAGGTTTTGGCCCCAGCAATTCTGTTATCAACCCCAAAAGATAGAAAGCACAAGTGCAGAATGTTACGGTGTTCTTCCTTAAGGAAAAAGAAAAATGAAGGCTAGAAAATCTATTTTATCTGTGCCCGCCCCCACCATGTCTTTACTCAGTGGTTTACAGAGCCAATTCCAGGGGGGAAATGATTTGAAAGGAAAATCTACTCTATTGCCTTATAGAAATTATTAAAGGCATCTGAGATTCTGTTTTTGAATAAAGTGGACTGCTAAAAATCTTTAAGAGAGCAGACCTAGATATGTAAGTGTCCGTGCTGAGACATGGGTTTGTGAATGTGTCATTTCCACAAAGACATCACAATGTCATTTACTTGGCGTTGGTCCACTATTAAATGACACCTGCCCTGAGCATGGATCAAAAGTCTTTCATTAACCTGTCTTAAAGATGCATTACCTAGAGTGCTTTGTGTTCAAGGTTAATATGTGGAACACTGGTTTTGTTTTCATCTAAAAACTTGAATAATTAGTTATTGTACCTTTCCTCATGTAACGGGCATTTTAGAAAAATCTATGACAATGTTCAAAATCTTCATTTGGGAACATTTGATTTAATGAATATGGAATTGTTTCAGAATATATTTGGAATAAGTCAGTTAACTGTATTCTTATTCTGAGTTACTGAAATTGTTTTCAATGTGTTATTTTATTTTAAAGCTACTTGGAGGAGAGGAGTGAATGTCTCTCTCTCTCTCTCTCTTTTTTTTTATGTGTTTTTAATGTACTTAGTGATTGAACGGCTGACGCTTATTTTATTCTGTCACCACTTCAAAGGGGTAAACGTGTACTTGAAGTAACTTGTGGCTGGTAGTTGAAAAACAAGATTTTTCTTTTTTGATAACCATTTTGTTAGGAGACAAATTTTCTTAAATGTGTACTGTGTTTATGTTAATGTTTTATCTTTTAATGGTAATGTTTAACAACATCCACTTTTTTGTAACAATAAAGTTTAAATTCAGAATATCAAAGAACAGGCCCCCTAAGTCAAGTGCAAGATTCATTTTTCTCCTGAGCTGGTCAGATGCATTTTCACTAAATACAGATCACTGAAAGTCCCATGTAACCCTTTAAAACTCTAATTGGTAGAGTATAGCTCCTATTGCCTTTTGTTCCACTGTAGCTAAACACCTTCTTTGAACAATGACTAATATCAGGGAAGTCATTTCTTCTAATATCGTTTGACTTGACAGTTGTAGTATTATAAGCCATTCACTCATGCAGTGTCACGACCTCACATTTCAGTTTGTAGCAGTCAAAGAAGGCATCACGCTCAATAGGGCTAACATCCGTCCTGTCCTGAATGCTTATGTAATCCATCAGCAGCGAAACCCTGAGTGTCTGATGAGGATTTCTAAGAGACACAGAGATTGCTCTTCTGACTACAGTGGTTCCCTTTCTTATCCTCAGGGTTGAAAATTTTCTTGGTCATGTTTCTAATTAATGTACAGATTATCGTACTTTCACTCTGATCATACCTAAATGTGTGAACCTAAATGTTGACGGTTACTGGGGGCTTTATAACTGAGGGAGATGCAACAGAATGCGGGACTTTTGTTTCACATTCACGTATGACCCCACTTGATGGTATTGTGGCCTCCTGCCAAGGGGGAGTTCCCTCACACATAGGTTCCCCTAATGCTTCTCCTCTTCTCCGTGGGCTACTAGTCAGTCACTAAGTTTGTGAACCTGATCAGGTGCTTGATGACATGGTATCTTGAAGACATTAAGGTGAAGGTGTCTTGAAGTTCGAGGGCAGAAAGCACTAAATATGTCATGGAACAAATGGTGCAAAAAGACAATATAAAAAGTATGATTGCCTGTCTTTCCCAAAGCAACAGCTTTTCCCCCAAATCAAACATTAACCTACATTTTTTTTGGCTGAAAATACTACATTTTAGAGCACTTTCCTGTATTTCATATTTGAACCTCGTTGGAGCTGTATGAAATACGCAGGGCATTTCACAATCACAGAAGCCAAGTTACAAGAGGTAAAAGTGCTAGGCTGAAATGCTAATGCTTGAAAGTCATGGAAACCCGAGTGGAAATTTTGTGGCTTCATTTTAGTGAAGAAAATTAGGTTAAGCGACTTATTGCAGGTCACACAACAGGTATGTGGGGCCAGAATTTGATTCTACCAAACAGCCTGATTCCAGAGCCTGTGTGTTTAACTATCACTCTTCAAGCAGAATCCACACTGACTAATAAAGGGGATTGAAAACTGGAGAACTATTAAGTGGCAAATATGTAACAGCGTAAGTAAAACCATAACTACTTTAGCCCAATCAAACAAACTCTTGTTCCACATACATATTTTTCTTTAAATTTTCTCTTCACAGACAGTAAAATATCCTTGTCGTTAAATTGTATTACCTAATGGCCCAAAGAAAGGAATTCTAGCCACAAAACTCCTCTTATATCCATTGCCGAATGGTTTGCTAGTAAATACAGTGTGAATGTAATAACCTTACTTAGCATGTACGCTTTATACCTGTCCCTCAACTTGTCCTTGTTCACATCGGTATTCTAATCACTGGAAGTTGGTATTGGATAGCACACACTCTGTAGAATGGCCACTTATTTTTCGGAATTGGATTCTGTGAATGTTGTGCTCAGTGACTTCTCACAAATAATATAGCTGGATACACTACCTTAACTACTCAAATGTAGAAATCTCAGCCCCAATGGGGAAGCACTAAGTAGAGACTCGGTCACTAAAGTCAGACACAAAAAACAGATGCCCGGTATCTCATTCCTGTTTAACCTTGTGGTGTAATTAGACAAGAGAGAGGAAACACACACACAATATTAGAAAGGCAGTATAAATTGAAAAAAACAACACTGTGAAAAATGGGAGATATTAGTAGAGTAACAGGCAATAAAACTAGCCTACAGAAATCAGATGTTCTCATATATAGAAGAATAACCAGCTAGAAAATAAGAGGGAAGATTCCATTGACACTGGCACAAATAAAATACCTAGGTAAAACAGTTAACAACAACAACAACAACAACAAAAATAGCCAAAATATAAATAAGGACTACTCGAAATCATTCGGAAAGACACAGGAATAGACTTGAACAGATGGAAAGACATGCTACACTCTTGGATCGGAAGACTCGATGTTATAAAGAGTCAGTTCTTCTGCAGTAAATTTGTAAATTTAAAACAATCACAATAAAAATGCCATGAGATTTTTTTTTCTGGAGCTAGACAGGTTCATTGTAATGACCATTTGAGGAAATAAAGGAGCAAACAATAGACAGGAAAACCCTGAAAAGGAAGACCAAGGAGGGGAGCCACACCTACAGATACTAAAACCTGTGATAAAATCTGTGTAACTAAACAGTGTGGTATTGGTGCCTGCATTGAACAATGAAACATATGATAACGTGTCTAAATAGACACAAATACATATAGAAATGTAGTCTATGTCAAATCAAGGCGGGGAATGGGCTTTAAAAAACAATGGCATTGGAGTAACTGAATAGCCATGTGGAAAAAGATAAAATTGGGCCTATTCCTTACACTGTATACCAGAGTAAATTCTAAATGGATCAGTGACCCAGGTGTAAAAAATGAAACCATGCAAATATTATTTTACAACCTAGGATTCTTTTATATTCTAAAAGAGCTACTTAAAATTGAGAGGAGGCCAAAAACGCAATAGAAGAATAATACAAATTGTGAGTAAATAATTCACAGAAATGAGTATGATTTTTAAATGTATGAAAATGTTACTCCTAACAAAAAACATATCCAGGCCTTCCAGTATCATAGGCTGTTTCCCGCCTCCCCACCCCAGAGCTAGACAAGTTGATCTTACAGTCCATCTAGGGGGGTAAAAATGGCACAAATGGACAGGAAAATCTTGAAAGGGAACAACAACGAAGGGAGCCGTTGCTACCGAGATGGTTCCTCACTTACTGGATTGAAAAAATGTTTGTCAGCGCTGGCCAGGGTGTGAGGAAGCAGGCAGTCTCATCTATTGTTGGTGGGACTGCAAAATGGTACAATCTCAGTGCAAGGGAATTTGGCAACAGCCAGCAAAATATATACCCATTTATCCTTTGATTCAATCATCTATTTGTAAGGACCTCCCCCCTCCCCTACCCATCTCAGAGAGATACCAGCAAAATACAAAATGCTGTATGCTCAAGGCTATTTAAGGAACACTGTTTATTAGCTTTTTTATTAGTAAAATTCTGGAACCTACCTAAACATTCACCAATAGGGAATGGTTGAAGAATCATAGTAGGTAGGTAACTCTCTTCTCTAGTATACATGATCTTCAGAGTATATTATGATGTGAAAAAAGAAAAGTGCAGAACAATGTATATAATGCTATCATTTATCTGGGCAAAGAGGAGAGAGAGAGAGTGTGTGTGTGTCTGTATAAATGTGTGTATATATATTTATATTTATATTTAAAGCAGGATACACGAAGAAAACACATGGAAATGGCTACAAACGTGGAAGAGGAGAGATCAGAGTGGAGAGTACAGAAATGGAAGCTAGACTTTTCTTAAAGTAACTAATGTGTGGTTTGAGTTCTAGAATCAATAAGTGATTTGTGGAATGATAAAACAAAAAGACAAGCTTTAAAAATTAAAAACCAAAATGAAACAAATGGGTCTGTAGTTTTGTACCAAGTTGATGAATTACTCTTGCGGAATTTAACTCTTTCAAATGAATTTAAAACACGGTAAGTTGCCTGTATATCCCAAATGGGAAAAATAGCATAAGGATAAAAATAACCACAGTGCATCTTGAGCTATATTAAGTAATCATATTGCTAGTAATACTATTGCAGTTGTAGGCCCCTGACTGTGGGAGCAAAGGAACGAGCCTTGGGCCGGAATGGTAAACAAG